CCCATTTTGGAATACTGTTTCTTCTTACTTTCGGCTTTGTTGCAATAAATAAACAAAATTCTGGTTTTGTCAGATATCGGAGGTGTTTTGCGATGGGACCCGAGCTAAAGCCTAGAACTCCACCCTCTTCAACAAATTTGCTTTCTATGAACAGCTGCGTTGAAGGGTGGAGATGGCGTTATTCCATGCTTTAGCACATGATGCTCTGGAGATCGGAACCCGTATCGACACGCCCGAGGCCAATCAAGTCTTCCATCCCCCGGGATCACTTAATTGGTGCCGGATTAGTTTGGAATCTCAATTTGTACAATGGCTAGCCATCGAAGCTCATTGTATAGTCCATTTACGCATTCAAAACGCCTTGTTTCTGAAGTCAGTGGAAATGGCACGAAATGCTGGGTCACATCCCAAAAACGAAGTAATGCCAAACCCTCTAGTTTCCATGAACAGCTGCGGGATGTCAGAGGTGATCGTTCAATTGTTCGTTTATACTAGAGAATAGATTAGCTTGCAAATTAACATTAAATTCAACTGAGTGGAATTAGCTAAATGTCGATTTCAAATTTTTATTCAGATTCAGAATTTCATTTCTCTCTCAGCAATTATGCGGTTTGAAGCCAAATCGTCTTACGGTTCTCGCATCGGAGGAATAAACTCCTTACTTCTATCGGTATTCAATTCAGGTCTGACATTTTTATCACCTCCAAAGTGTCTCCTTCGAATCAAGGCACCAATTTGGCCAGGAAATCAGTTGAGAAGTGGGTCTGTTTCACTTGATAGTCGCATCGGATTTCTTCACCGAAGCCACTACTATTCGAAAAATTTCATAAGTATTCAGATCTCTGGAAAATTTGCGGACTGATTACATTGATCTTATGTTGATTCATTGGCCTGGTACCAGTGGAAAGCCGGTGGACGACCCAATGAATGCTGAACGTCGCAAGCAGACCTACGAAGTGCTGGAGGAGTTTCATGGTAGGTATGTCCTGTAGTGAACTATGTCAGTGTATGTTTGTGTATGTTTATGTGTGTGTATGTGCGTATATGTCTATGTGTTTGTGATTACTGTAGCTATCTCTAAAAGTGGACAGAGAAATAGAGAAACCAACTTTGGTAGGAGTTAAACGGAAGCAATCTTGAGAACCCTTTAAAGTCTTTCAGCAGCTGTTTCCACTTGACCTGAGTGAGCACCGCATGTTCTTACACCAGGAAGTAGGTGACACAGTGAAAGGCAAGAAGGAGCTGGAGGAGGAGCAAGACTCTTTGCGAGAAGGGAGAAATAGGGAGGGTTTCGCTGGACTTGAGTTGGTCCGTCCACAAGGGGTTTTTTAGGACAAATGTATACTGTCCATCTCATACGGTGCCTTTGAGACGAGCTGGCAGCATGCTCCTCATCAGAAGCTCTTCCATGGGTTGTACGAAGTGTTATAGCTCATCAGCTTTATTAATCGGTGATTGGCGAAATTATAGGAATAGTTTTATAAGTAGAGGAAGTGAGGGACGGGCACTGTGCTGACGGTTTGCTGCGTCAACTATTCGCGCTACGATCTTGCTCGGTAGCTGTCCCAGCATGAAGCTTGCCGTACTTCTCGAGAAGGTATCTACCGCCTCTGACTTTTAGAAGGTACAATGCTCATTGCGTTGCTCTAACAAGGTAGAGAAAGCAATGAGGCGATATTGGAAGTTAGCAGCTGGCACACCTCTTCGTGGTCCCTCCGTCAGAGGTGACTTCAAAGGGGTGTGGAGCATTAGGTACGAAAAGGTCGCGTCACGGCGAGAGGGGCGTCGCGCGCGAAGGAATGGAGCAGGATGCAGCAGTAGGTAAGAAATACAAGAACAAAAGTACTAATAGTAGAATTATGCAAAAAATAATGATCGCATATCGACCGAGCTGTATGAAGAAGGCTAGAGCTGTAATAACGGCAAATGAGTGGTCCGCGACAGCCGCGTGCGGCGAATCGATTACCCGAAATCGATCCTAACGCCCGTCTCCCACTTCAAAGGAATGGGTGCTTACTTGTACCATCATATACCCTAAATTTCACTGCATTGTACATATAATGGCGGTACACCTCCAGAAGGTGGTCAACTCCGATCGATTGGGATATCGAACTATGAGGTACGACACTTGGATGAATTACTCGATCATTGCAAAATTCATCCAGCAGTTAACCAGGTAACTTTCACCCCCTAGACTTTTCCGTTACTTCTACTTTCCGTTCTTACTCACTTCCATTTTCAGGTAGAGTTCCATCCACACTTCCATCAACGTGACCTCTACGACTACTGCATGTCGCACGATATTCATTTCCAGGTTATTATCATTTTTTGATAATTCTGCGACTGATAGTTCCCTATAATTTCTATTCATATCATAGGTAACTTTGCCTACTCGGACTAATTGTTGGTCATGAATCTTGATGATTTTCTTCCTACAGCTTTTGTTTTGGCTTTATTTGTTTCTTCCTTTTATTTTTTTGTACCAATATTCCTCGCTGGGAGCATCTAGCTGTGCACCTCATGTGGTGTGATCGATATGAGAGTCAGATATTTATTGCTTTTTCAATCATTATTCACTATTATCCCTTTATTTTTTATCGATTATTTTTCCATTTTGTCTTATTGACTATTAATTTTGTTTTTTTTTTNTTTTTTTTTGTGTTTTTGGCTCATCTTACACTTCCCGGTTTTCGGAAGTAATGATCATTTTTCATAATTTTAGGCGTACAGTAGCCTGGGAGGCCCGAACTATCGAGAAGAACTGTTCGAAGATCCCGACGTAATAGAACTCGCTGAAAAGTACGATATCACCGTTCCTCAGTTCCTGCTCTCCTGGGCGATATCACAGTCAATTAGCGTTTTGCCACGCAGTACTTCACGTGAACGGACAATCGCTAATTTTTCGGCGAAGAAGATTCGCATTTCTCCAAAAGACATAGAGAAGTTGTGGAATAATGGCAAGTGTCACAAGGCCAGCTGGGATCCAAGCGTTGTTGCTTGAGTTTGCGCTCATGAATGTTTTTTCTGTCTTTCTCGTTTATTCACTGTTATGATACCTATCTTGTGGACCTCAAAAGAACTGTACCAAATACCTAACCGCCCAGGCACTTTCTCCGCCAATGGGTATTGGTTTGTTGCCCATCTAAATTATCGAAATTGTTCCTTTTGAAATACATGCTAAGATTGAAATAGCTACCGTATCTCTACAAATTTCCCTCAACTGTGAATCAGACCGATTGTACTTCTCATGTCAATGTTTGTAGTATTTAACAGTAACATCACTGAAGGCACGTTTTGAACCTCACGCATCCCTCCGAATTCCTGTCCTTTCAGACTCGCATAAATGTTCTATTGTGGTGTGCAGGAAGTGGGACAGATCGCATCACGACGAAACTTTTTATGGATTCCTGGCTCTTAGGTGGATATGGATATTCTCTTCTGAACTCTCTTCTTAATATGACGTCACTTCGAAACAATAACCACTGACATTATCAGTTCAACACTGTAGTAATTTATAAAGCACCTCGTCTGGATCGCGCTGAAAACAAAATCTGCTTCTACACTTCTGTTCCTATGGACATATTTAGCGCCGCTCAATTCACTTTAACGGTAGCAGAATCTCTATTGTTTGCACCTGAATGAGTAGAACTCAGTAATTTGGTAACTGAAAAATCCAAAATGGAGTCTGAATCCATGCTTGTTTTATGGTACTCCAATTGGCTCTCACAGTATCGTATCGTTGGTAACGATGAACTCATGACGATATCTACTATATGAACTGCAATTAGATCGGAAAAGGTTTATTAACAAAGCGACCTTTCAGGCATGATTATTGCTTCCTAATATGTACACAATACATCCTAGAAAACGAAACGGTAGTTATTACCGAGACTTCTTTTCCTCCTCAATTTCCCTTCTATCTTTGGAAGATAGACCATCCAAACATTCCTTGTGCATATTCAGCAGATCAAAGTCTCGTATGCAGTTGTCCTCAAATATTCAAAAACAAATTAATCAACTAGAGAGATAAAAACCATGGAATAACAAACTTGGTTGAATACGAAGGGAATAGCTCGCCGCTTTTCGCTGACAAGTGGTCTTCGTTTTATTTCCTTGGCATCCCTGAATATATAAGGCAAATCGAGACGAGATCCAACTCCTGAAGCCTGATCGGTGTAACTTTGACAAAACATACTTAAACACGCATATAGTAGGCAATTGACGAGATGTTGGATGCGCATTGACACGAAATCGCTCTGCCTCTTTTGGCCACCGCCCAACATCAAGTTTTCCGAAGCGGAGATTCGGCAAGGAAAATCTGTAAATACGAGAGCCTTCTGGTAAGAGAAGTAGATCACTTCTCTTTATCAATCTTCAAAATACTAAAGCGAAAAAACACTGAAAATTTGAATTTATACCATATTTCTAGTGGTAAAATGTTTGCTCAAATCGTTATCCAACTGTTCTCCAACTGATACCGTTAATTCCAAAAGTATTAATGTGATGAATTAGAAAACTTTGGAAGGCATGAAAAAGCTGCATTTAAAAGAGCGAGAGAGATAAGAGAGAGGGTGGTGACCATTTTAGTTTGCAGATGAAAACCTCGAGAAATGCATTTAAATTTCGGAAGTTGATTTTTGATCATGGAGGAGGTTTGGAAGGCGAACAAGCTGAATTTCTTTCAACTCAGATTAAAAGACTTGTTTGGGTGAAGATATTTGAGCCAATGATATACTGTTAGAGCTGAAACTTGGAGAAAAATCCACTGCCGGGAACTACTTCAAAATACATTCAGAGTACCGGAAGGAAATCGCTTATGAAGCCAATAGTGAGCATGTTTTCACTTTGTTCCACTGCCAGTGCGTATAAGTATTACCTTTCACTTAGTTGCGCGAACACAGGTGTTGCATGTTTGCACTCAGGACTCCAAGTGGTGTAAAATTGAATAATGAATATTGATTTACGATCTTTGTTCAACTCTTCCTGAATTAGACATTAATCCTTCAATAATGTACGGAGAATAAAAAAAATATTCATGCACTCACAAAAAGTTCTACTCCTTGGAAATACGTAATTTTCTCAGGGCCGCTATAAATTGGTTCCGGCACTAACACAGTAACCACTGCAAACAAAAAAAATGTAGCATAGCCAACTGCTATAAGACGTGAAACAATCTCACCGACAACAATTAGAAGATATATAACTCCAATGAAGGCATCCGCACGAAGAAATAAAGCTATGTTGGCGATTTTAGAGAAGAGAAAGATGTTGTTAATATAATGTAGATAGTTCGTCGTTTTCCTCCCTTTCCAAGCGATAACCACTGCCAGAAAGATCAGAATCTCTCGTTCTCTCTAAAATGAAATTTGACCACTACAGTCATGGGGCTTCGTTAGGTAACGTTAAGCATTAGCTGGAATACTACGAAACATAGACTTAACAAAGAAAAGGGAATAAATGTGAATTAAAATATAAATATAACGGAAAGAGTAAAAGGAAGGGAGCACGTAACTCACCGAGTCAAGGGCACACTCTCCATCTTCAGAGACAAAAAACCATTGGCAAATCTCCGGAATACCTTTAGTCGAAAGAAAGGTAACGGATAAAATTGTATTCAAAAGGTGGTAAAGGGTAAATACGTTCTTCGCTTCTTTGAGCTGCGGAATCAGCATGTTCTGAAAAAAGGATGAAAATCAAAAAATAATGAGGCAGGTCTATTGCAGGGATTTTTTTCTGGAGAAATCGAAGCACGACATAATAAAATGATGAGTTCACAAGAATAATCGTTTAGCTAAGGCGATAGGTTGGAAATGCGACGTGAGTGAAAAATGTTGACCGCGACTGCCCAAAATTGTGACTACAGTAAACCGAAATTATGATTTGC